ACTTCATGGGACAACAGACAGATCTTCTCTACATGAAATATAATGCAAGCATGGAGGACGGTGTTACAAATCATCAGAATAATGAGACAGGAAGATGAATTCAGTCCAGCCATAAGCTAGAGGACCCTAGCATTATTTCTCCCAAGTTCAGCCCAAACTATTTTCTTTACAAAGTGTACATTCACTTCAGGAACATGGGGAAATGATTGACTCCCTATTCAGTCTGACAAGCTTTTCTTCATCTCTGAAGAGTTAGAGGAGTTGAGAAGGGGATTAGAGGGACACTGAATCTTTAAGGAGAATCATTGTGTCTTCTACATCAAAATAAGCTGGGTGAGATTTAAGTCTGTCCCATCTTTAAGACTGCCCTTTCCACATTGTCCTGAGAAAAAAGACAATCAAGGAAACACTTACAGAGAATAGGCATCCCAATCCCCAGGAGGCTCGTGTAAAGGAAGCTGTAGGACTTTAGTAATGGAGAGAGGCAGGTTTCCACCAATAATGAGATCTCCAGGTCTGTAGTATTCTTTCTGTTCTTGGAAAGGACTCCTATAGAAGCAGTTTGGCCTCAGGAACATCTGGACAGCTGCAGGCAAGGCCCATAGCAACATTAAAAGCCAACTCATTGTCCACATAAAGAGACCTTCTTCCTAGAGCAAGTCAATGGAGGATGATCTAGGGAATGTGATGCTCTGATGACTTCAGAGGGCTCAAGTGGGGTTTTAAGGCTTCAAGATAAGCATTCGTCTCAGCTCCAATTCTAAAGGGACCCAGCCATATTATCCAGAGTATGCTAAGTAAATATGTTTTGTCGAGACACAAACTTCTTTATGTTTAGGGAGGGTTAATCTTTAGAACTCTACTGAGATGAAGTAAGAATTTCTAGTGTTTGATGAATCCTGGGAGAGAGTAATATCCATATTATCCCCATAATTCTGGAGTCCTTGGCATTTTGGCAAGAGAAAAACTTAATTGTGAGGTCACAATTGTTAGTCTTTTTCTGTGAATTGGGCAACTGTGATTGGAGAGTCATTCACCTATAGAACTAGAAGAAAACTTGGGGGTCACCTAGTCCATTCCCCTTAATGTAGGACACACATGAGGCAAACTCTTTTAAATCTCTGAGATCTCTTTGGAATTTACTGTTTCGGCTGTAATCTCCCAACTCTTTTCAGATCAAGAAACTCCCTGGGACTTCCTGGAAAAACTCGCCATGGCTTCTGTCCTAGTGTTGTTTCCCTAACTGGCCAATGGAGATGTGTTTCAGCTGTGAGGCACTTGGATGGTTTTTAATAATCACTCACTTTCTTCTTTTCTTTGTGACTTAGATGTACTCTGCCCAACCTCCCTGTCACTTGAATGGGTCCTCACTATTTTAACCAAGTATTTCAAAGCCAACCACTCTGCCTGATGGAGGATTTCCTGAGGACAGAGTCAAGAGCTTCTCTCAGATGCACCATTCTGCCCTACACCATTCTTCAGTCCCTACTCTTTGTGGTTTGAACCAGGAGGGGTTACCTCTCCTTGAGTGAAAAGCATAACACCCAATCATCACCCTACCAGACAAATCCTGCATTTGCAGTGGCCCTAAGAGATTATAGTGCCCATGGGGTGTTCCTGCCATCAAGCAGGGCATCCAACTGGTCCACATGGAAAGGTTTGAGATTGGAAACCTGGCTGTGCACTGGTTCCACTCAAGGACAGTTTCAGTCTGTGGTGGTGGAAGGTGAGAGGTCAGCCCCGGGGGCTCTGCTATGTGGGGTGTTTCAGCATTGGCCCTCTCTCCACCTCTCTCTATCCCTAAGCATTCTTGTAAGTTCAGGAAACATCTAAGACGGTCACACAACATTGTCTCCCTTCCTCTCTGCTCAAGATTGAACAATTTTCTAACTATTCCATTAATTAACACCCATTAACCCATCCCCATAATACACTGAAAGCATACAAAAATAGCAGGGACAGGAGAAGATCCCTTAATATCCACTTCATATGGTTTGGTTTATTAATGAAGCATATTTATCTAGTCATAATGAAGAGAACACTTTGTACAATTTAATGTGAGGGTGAAAGTTTGTTCTCCAAGCTTGTGGGTTGGTTTCCAAATGCTTTGTTAACAGGCTAGGTAATATCTTCAGCGGAGTTTAGGGGATTCAGTGTTCTTCTGTTTATAAGGGCTTCAGGTGTGGGTGTGTCAAGTGAGGGTCTTGTGATGGGTCTTCTGGTGGGTCAGGTGTGAGTCATCAGTGAGAGGCTTGTGATGGGTCTTGTGATGGGGAGGTTATATCAGGTCAGAGTCATTGGGAGGTGAACTGCTGGTGGGAAGGGATGGGGGCTTGCATGGGATGGTTGAGGGTGGGTGCTGTCTCTGGTTGGCTGTGTGGTTGTTTTGGATCCTGAGGGGTTTGTAGGCTGGTTGTAAGTCAATGTGTTTGTTGATGGAATTGCTTGTGGAATGCCAGGCTTTGATGAACTCCCAAGTGTGGTGGGAGGTAGCGTGGCTGATGATTTTAGTGTTGCTCCAATCGAGCTGGTGTTGTTTGGTGTGGGTGTGGGTAGAGATTAATTTGATGTGTTACATTAAAAACATACAACGAGAAATACTTGAATGAAAAAATTAATAGAGAATTCTACAAAGCCACAAGACCCCCTGTGTACAAGTATGCTGTCAATATTAATATTTCTTTATTATTTCTGTATGAATTTTCTTTGCCACTGTAACTGTAACACAACTTGACACTTCTTTTCAAAGATTCTTCATTAAAACAAACAAAGGGACGAAAGTCCTACTAGAAATCCACATCCATTTCTTCAAGATCAGTCTGTATTAATTATCAAGTTGGGACATGGCCTCACTGGGAACAAGTTGCTTTCATGGAAAATAAAAAGGTGGGTGACTCTTGCAGACCATTTATTTAATAACTTTTTATTCTGCTTCCCTACAAAAGGTGACTCCGGGTGGCTAACAAGTATATTGTGATCAATCACATGGTTGAATATCAGTTGTGAAATGGACAAGTTCCATCTTCTTTTCTTCACTTGTCTGAAATGTTTTTAAATTCTAAGCAAGCCTCAAAGTGAAAATAAGTTTCCAATCACTTCACTAGTCAGAGATTCTTGTTCCTTGTTATGTTTTCACTGTGATTCTGTTTGGGCCTCAGCAGGAAATGGAGCATTTGGGAGACCAGATACAAGGCAAGAGACGAGTTCAGAAGGACAAAAGTGCTCACTGGGGACAACTGACATCCATGAAAAGTAAAATAATAATAATAATAATAATAATAATAATAATAATAATAATAATAATAATAATAGTAGTAGTAGTAGTAGTAGTAGTAGTAGTAGTAGTAGTAGTAATAATAATAATAATAATAATAATAATTAGTAGTAGTAGTAGTAGTAGTAGTAGTAGTAGTAGTAGTAGTAGTAGTAGTAGTTGGAAGGGACCTTGGAGGTCATCTAGTCCAACCCCCTGCTCAGGCAGGAAACCCTATACTATTTCGGACAAATGGCTGTCCAGTCTCTTCTTAAAAACTTCCAGTGTTGGAGCATTCACCGCTTCTGGAGGCAGGTTGTTCCACTGGCTAATTGTTCTAACTGTCAGGAAGTTTCTCTTTAGTTCTAGGTTGCTTCTCCCCTTGATTAGTTTCCATTCATTGCTTCTTGTCCTGCCTTCATGTGCTTTGGAGAATAGCTTGACTAGGGAATGTTTACTGCTGCTCGGCAGGTACATTGTGATGGGACACAACACTTGACTTTCAGACTTAGAGTTAAGAAGCACTCAGCATGGAAGCCAGTTGTAGCCTTGTAAGTGTGAGCAATAATGCTTGATGTGGCAGCTGTTTTATTTACAGTCACCTGGCAGGGAATCACTGAAAGAGGTGTTGGAACATCTTCTGGAGAGTTTCCCTCAGATGGAGTGAAGGTTCAGATGAAGAAGAGAAGAATTAAGAAGGAATAAACAATGATAAAAGCTGAAGTGATGAGCAAGAGACAAGAAGGAGGGAAGACAAGATGGCTTCCGGGAAGCTCTTCCACCAACAGCATCATGAGGAAGAGGCTGAATAAAAAGAGCCAAAGGCCAGGAGTCAGATAAACAGGCAAACTAACAGATAGACTTCCCTGATGAAAAGAGGCAACAGAGATGAAGGCAGAAAATGAGAAAAGTAGGGGGGGGAGTAATTGACTTTCTTACTTCAGAACCTGACTGAGGGAAATGTTCTTCCAGTCATTTTCTCAGATGGAGCGAGAGCCAGAAGAGAAGAAGATTGAAGAAGGCCCTCCAGGAACAAACAAACAGAAAAGACAAAGGGAAATTAAAGACAGACCAGAAAAAAAAATCAGAAATAAAAAAATATAAAAAGCAAATTGAATTCCGTAGGAAAAAAAGGATAACTGCATAGAGAGTGACAGCAGTGATCAACCAGGATTAAGGCAGCAGAAATATAGAAGTCAGCAGTAAACAAATGTACTGAGACATAGAATAGAAAGATATGAAAATAGAATGAAATTGGCCTTAAAAAGTATATACGGTAAATTAAAGTCTTATATGTTTTCCATTTAAATATTTTTATTATTAAACACTATTTTTAGTGGAAATTTAATTTTGGCACTACTTGAAGACATTTGCAATTTACAATTCTTTTCTCTCTTTTTTCAATTTGCAAATTTTCCTTTTGTAAAATAAAAGTCTTCCTCTCCGGATTCCCAGCCACCCAACACAATCCAGCAGATTTTAGAGATCCTTTGATTGAAGTGGAAAACTGCCCCGCTGTAAATGGGTGGGGTAGGGTTTTTTATATAATGGATTTATTATATTATGTATTTAAAAATATCTTGTAACCCACCCAGAGTCCCTTATGTGTGAGTTGGGTGGCTACATAAATTTGCTTAATTAATAATTATCCACATCTTTGATATCAACATATATTACTCAGGGCTCTTATCAGGGACAACTGCCAAAATGCCCCAATCCAAGTAAAATTTCCCAATTCCAGAACAAATCAGCAATTCTTCTGCCTCATTATATTCTCTTTACAATTCAGATTGGGCCTTAGTAGGATAATGTAGCATTTGGGGAAAAAGATGCAAGCTAAGAGACCAGAACCAGAGGCCAAGATAGAGAAGATCTCCACAGCCACCATGGACTTCCCTTTGGTGCTCAGATAGGTGGGGAGGAAGGTGATCCAAACACTGCAAAAGATCAACATGCTGAAAGTAATGAATTTGGCTTCATTAAAGCTGTCTGGCAATTTCCTAGCCAGAAAGGCCACTGTGAAACAGATAATGGCCAAAAGCCACAGGTAGGAGAGAACACCATAAAACATTGAAACTGAGCCTTCCTGACATTCCAAAATGGCTTCTCTTAACAAGGAGTGGAAGTCCATGTTGGGAAATGGGGGAGAGGTTACCAGCCAGGTGGCACAAAGAAGTGTCTGAACCAGGGGACAGGCTAAGACAATGGAGTTGGTCAGTGGTTTTCCTAAGAGTTTCCTTGTGCTGTTGCCTGGCTTGGTAGCCATGAAGGCCAGAACTACCATGACAGTTTTTGCCAAGACAGAGGAAACTGCAAGGGAAAAAAGGATGGCAAAGGCAGTTTGTTGGAAGAGACAGGTGAGCTTCCCTGGTGGACCAATAAAGAGGAAGGAGCAGAGGAAGCAGAGCTTGAGAGAAACCAGGAGTATGTAGGTGAGATCTCGGTTGTTGGCCTTGACAATTGATGTGTCACGATACTTAAGGAATATTGCCAGAATTGCAGATGTGATCACCGAGAGAGAAAGGGCAAGAGAAACCAAAATGTATCCCAGGGTGTCTTGATAGGAAAGGAAGTGGAGCTTCTTGGCAATGCAGTGGTCCTTGTCCTTGTTGGGGTATCGGTCTTCTGGGCAGGGGTCACAGGAAGCTGCATCTGAAATCAAGAGTCACTTTGTATTTTATAGTGTATCAAAAGGGCAAATCAACATTTGATATTGGTAATCTTGGGGAATAGGTTTATTGTATTCAGCTCTTTATCTCAAGTCCTCTCCTATATATTTTGCATCCATTCATTCAGCATTTTCTTGCAGAGAAGGGCAAGCAGACATAGCTAGATGGATCTCTTTCTCCAACAGGTCTTTCAATTACTTCACCCTAAATAATGAAGTTTGAACCTCACACCCCCATGAAACATTTGGTAACTGGTTTTCTTTGATGTAGCTGGATATAAGAATCAGAGTGGAAAGTCTACTAGAGAACCTATATACAGTAGTGGTAAACCTATGGCATGGGTGCCAAAGGTGGCACTCAGATTCCTCTCTGTGGGCACACGCGCCGCTGCCCCAGTCCTAGGCCTTTAGTGGGTTTTATAAAACCTTTTTGCTTTAGGCCTCCGCTGCCGTGTGCAAAAAAAAAAAAGGTTCAATCAGTCAATTTCAACTTCTCATGGGAAAAAAAAAGATCTTGCAAAGTTGGAATTGATTGATTGAACTTTTTAGTCCCATCCAGTCTGCTGTTACCATTGCAGCCACGTCCACCCAATGGGCCACGCCCACCCAATGGGCCACACCCACCCAGTACTTGATGATGCATAAGTGGGTTTTGGGTTGCAGTTTGGGCACTCAGTCTCTAAAAGGTTCGCCATCACTGACCTATGGTTTAGGTTTAGGTTTTATTAGGTTTTATTAAATTTATACCCCGCCCTTCTCCTGGCGGACTCAGGGCGGCTTACAGCAAGTTAAAAAACAGACAAACCATACAAAATACTAAGTTTAAAATACAATTAAAATGAAATATTGATTTTTTTGCCGTTTCTTTTTAAAATTATGTTAAAAACCAAATTAAATCGAATTAAAATCAAATTAAAATATCCCTTAGGCCAGTCCCGCTAGCTGGAATAGCCATGTCTTGAGGGCGCGGCGGAAGGAGGGAAGATCCGGAATGACCCGGATCTCTGGGGGTAATTCGTTCCATAGGGAGGGGGCTCCAACAGAGCAGGCCCTCCCCCTGGGGGTCGCCAGCCGGCACTGTCTGACTGACGGCACCCTGAGGAGACCCTCTCTGTGGGAGCGTATCGGCCGATGAGAGGTAATCTGTGGCAGAAGGCGGTCTCGGAGATTGTGCCCTTAAACAATCCTGCATTAAATTGTTGAGAAGGAAAGGTGTTGGGAGGAGGACAGTTTGTTTATTTATTTATTTTTATTTATTTAGAAAATTTATATTACCACCTATTCGCACATGGCAATTCAAGGCAATTTACATGGATAGAAAACATCATCTTAAAAAAATAAAAAATAACAAGGAAAAAAATAATAAAATAACAAACATCCACCACCACCCCAACACACATTCAAACTAGCCATTTAATGGGCTCCATCCTGCTCTGGGTTCCTCAGGCATGCTGGCACAACCAGGCCTTCAGTGCTTTCCAAAATAGTGTTAGAGTGGGGGCCAGTTTAATCTCTGGGGGAATTGTGTTCCAGAGAGAGGGAACCACCACAGAGAAGGCCCTTCTTTGGGTACCGCCAGATGTATCTTCTTAAGAGATGGGACCCACAACATTCCTTGCCTCCTTGCTCTAGTGGGTTGGGTGACGGTCCTTTAGATAGTTGAAATCAATGAACTCAGAGGTTCTGTTGACAAGCATGAATGTTATTAAGAATGTCAATCTACCAAAAATAACAATGCAATTGATATTTGTTTCTATTGAATAGTTTCCTTGATCTTGGAAGTTCTACATTTAAAGTGTGCTCTACCTGTCTGATTAGAAATGCTCCCTTCTGGACAAGGGACACATTGGTAGCAGCAAACTTGCTTGCCCTCTGGAACTCTTCTCCTCTCTCCTGCATGGCATCTCTTCATGCCACACCTGGCAAAGGGCATCTTCTAAAAGAGAAGTAATGGAGGTGGTCTAAGCAATCAGCATGGTTACATTTATTCATTTGTTCATTTCTGTTTCCATTGTCAGAATATCCTCAAAATAGATGGTGAATGTTGTGTCCTGAGCTAGCAAGAGCTGACTGCAGGCTCAGAATTGTTGCAAATGGTCCTGGGCAATCCCAAAAGCTGCCTGGGACCAGACAGATTGGTGCCAGCCTTGTGCGCATGCGCAAGGCGCGAAAAGGCTAAATTCCTATTGGTTCACACTGTCCGGGTTTCAGGCACTATAAAAGGCCTGCGTGCCTTTTGCTGTTTGCTTGGTTGTAGGAAAGAGAAATAAAGACCTATTGTTTTAACCATGCGTCTTCGTCAATTGCTCGCAAACCAAAAACACAATAGCAAACTAGGGTCTATCAGAAACTAAGAAAAGCTACGGGGGGATTAAGGCCAGTTCCATTCCAAACCACCATATATGGATGCTGGAGATTGGAACTGGGGACTTGGCATACAAGAAGGCTTGTGAGTTGAGCTATAGCTTTTCTAAAACAGCCATGGGATCTAACTGAATGGGAAATGTCCATGGAAACCACTGCTGGCTGCTTTAATGGAATCCTGGGTTTCAGGCAGAATTTCTTCCTCAATCTCAACCCTTTTTGATCTGTCATAAATCAGACATCAAATATGTTACATGCAAAACAGGCTTTTCATCAAACGGTTGCCAATTTTTTGTTTTCCAGTGAGGAGGATGTCTTGAATCCCCAGAAGAGAATAGTTTTTTGCTGAATGTATTTGACCTTCCTGTTCACCTTTCTTGCCCAGACAATTGCATTGGAGTTAATGGTGAAATTCTGGCCTTGGGGAGCCCCTGGATCTATCTGTCCAACTTTCACAGGGACAAAAGATAGATTGGGGAGGAGAACCCAGTTGACAAGATCATAATGACCAGATCCTAGTCCATTTTCTGAGAAGGAAATTTCATCTCCAGCACTGTTGTTGAAGTGGATAGTCCTCAAATAGGGAAGAAGCTGAAAGAAAAGAGACCTTCAGAAACTGGAGTAATTGGCTGAAAGCCACACATCAGACATCATGGCTTCTATCATTGTGTGATGGCCATCATCGTAGGAGATTTGTATATATTTGTGAATCTAGAGGATTTTCCTTGGTGGGGATCTGAGCAATCAGGTGTAACATAAAATTTTGAATTGCTTCCCCCAAACCTTCAGATTGGGCATTTTGTACCATGGCTTCTTCAACTGCAATTTTATGAGAATGATGTCAATGTATTCCTTCTCAGAAAGAGTAGTGGCAACAAAAGTGGTGGGTCAATCATCAATAACTGAGTTTAAGCTTGCTTGGGAACCCATGTCCATAATCTGACAAAAATAAATAAAATAAAATAAAATATGAAAAATAATAACAAAATAAAAATAAATATATAAATCAAAAAGCAAACAAAAACAAACTCAAAGGAAACATTCAATGGACCACTAGATCTTTTTTCTGCTCTCAGTTTTCTATGTTTATATCTTTCTAATTATTGTCACTGCCAGATTTTTTTTTCTTTAATTCTAGGCTGGATCTCTCTTTTGTAATCTTTTAACTGTTACTTCTTGTCCTGCTTTCAGGTGCTCTGGAGATAAATTGACCCCCTCTTCTCTGTGACAGCACCTCAAATTTTAGAAAACTGCTACCAGTTCACCCCTAATCTTTCTCTTCATTAGACTAGATACCTAGTTCTGTCAACCTACTGAACCACAAAACCAAATGCCTACGTGAATGAAACACTGAAGAGCACAAGGGATGGGGGAAGGAGAGAACAGATATTGTGGTGAAGAACCAAAAGAAGGATGAGGTGTTTGGTGGAGTGAGCATGGGGACTCTGAAGCTACCACAGCTGACAAAAGCTGAGACTTTCAGCCTTACAAGCCTTCCTAAGATGCAGACCAGCTACAGCCATCTGGTCACACGGAATTGTTTCCTCTCAAGAATTGTGTGATGAAGAAGCAACTCAGTCAAACGGAAGATTACAAGTCTACTGAAGTATCAAGGCTGGAAGGTGTTGGGTAAAAGGGGATTAAGCCCTGGAAAATGGACCAGAAGTCCCAATCCTTAAAAGTGAAGGCTAGCAAGGAATGGTGGTTATGCTGCCTTTGTGACTTAAAAAAAGGTGCAGAGTTAAAAGAACATAGAATGAAAGAGTAATTTGTAATTTATTGTTATGGAATCTAAATGCAGGCCCCAAAGCAAATAATCAAGGCTCACTGCCGTATTTATTGTTAACATGGACATTGTAGGAATTCTCTCCAGAAATAATAGGAGGAATTCCTGCAGAGAAGAGGATGAACTCATATTTATGCATTTCAGAAATGAATTTTAGACTATGCTAAGTCTTGTTATGTGTGTTAAAGTTGACAGAGGTTGTTTTCACACAACCAGCAAATAAATAAATAAATGGGGTGGGTCACACAGCATGGTAAGCCATAGAAACTAAACCAAAGTGAAAATGAACTTGAGTTGAGTGTCTTTTTAAAAAGTAGTGCAAGATCGGAAGATGTTGAGAGGCCTAGCCCATAGAATCACCAAGAGTCAGACACAACTGAATGGATAACATCATCGTCATCATCATCATCATCATCATCATCATCACCACCACCACCGCCGCCGCCGCCACAATCCAGGCTACATCTGAAGGAAACCTAGGTTGTTCTGGAAATATGCCCACTAGGATCGTGGAAGCCTCTGGCAGATATGCCATGTTGTTTTATGTTTTCTGTTCCTCTGGGGTGATGCTTCCTCCCTGGGATGGCCTCTTTATGAAACTCAAACTCCAAAGACCTTTGAAGAACTTTTAGGAAGGTCTTTCCTACATGAATCTCATGGACAACTGGTTTGGTTTATTTCTCTTTCCCCCCTTCTACAAAAACTATACTTAATTCTCTTAATTGTTTTATTTTTTAAAAAATATTGTTTCAGTCTGGTTGGATGCAGATTTGATGGAGTGATATGATGCCATGCATATATTTAATTCAAGAAATGCACACAGGGAGCTTCCTCTCTAGAGCAGGGCTTTTCAACCACTGGTACAGGTACCACCTGTGGTACATTGGCACCTGGCAGGTGGTATGCGACCATCTTAGAAAAGTAGCAGGGGAGGGGAATGGGCTGAACCGGTGGCAGCCCCACACAAGCCTGAGTGAGAGACGGCTGGAGCTGCAGGGCTGTCAGGGCTCAGTGGAAGTGCCAGGATCAGTGCTGCTTTCCAGCTGATCGGCGCTTCTTCGGGGCTGTCAGGGCTCAGTGGAAGTGCCAGGATCAGTGCCAGGCTCCACCTGGAGCTCGGTGCTGATCCTGGTGCTTCTGAGCCCTGAAGAATCACCAATCAGCTGGAAAGCAGCACTGATCCTGGCGCTTCTGCTGAGCCCAGAAGAAGCACCGATCAGCTGGAATGTTGCAGCCTCTCCAGAGTCTTGTGATTTACATTCAGATGCTTGGCAACTGATTCATATTTATGACTGTCACAGTGTCCCAGGGTCATGTGAAGTGACCAAAACCTGCTGCAACCACCCAGCAGTCAGGGGGAATAAAAACCAAACACCCCCCACCCCACCTCCGCTGCCAATCCTCAACAGAAATGCTCACAACAATGAAAACCTCGGACAGGAGGAAGAGCACTGGCGGGTGGGCAGGCAGGTGTTTTGCTCGGCTGTGGCTAGGGGGGCACTTTTTTCAGTGCCATTGTAACTTCGGACAGTCACTAAACGAACTGTTGTAAGTCGAGGACTACCTGTACTTTATCACTTTTTTCCTTTTTTTTTTTTTGGGTCATCAAGTTTATGACACCTTGCTAGGTGACTGGTGGTACTCGGATGTTGCCATATCCTAAAAGTGGTACAATGGGTGAAAAGGTTGAAAAGCCCTGCTCTAGAGATCTATGAACAGGATAAAAAAAATCACAAAAATTACCTGCCATGACTGGACATTTGTGGTCCTCTTTGCAAGCCTCATCATGGCTGGTCGGGTTCCTGATCCATACAGTGCATGCAATGCGTGTGCCACAGCATAAACGGCATTGTAGATATTGCAACTTTTACCAGTCATGCTCATTTCAAACACGTAAGATGGTAGATTCATTAAATTCTCCTTTCCAGTACATGTTTTTCCCCCCTTTGGAGGGATCTTGCCTGGTTTGTGGATCTTGCAGTGAAAGACCCTTTCCCACCATAGTGGGAGAAAAATGTCCCCTTGTGGTTTCAAAGGATCTAAAGACATGAGAAAATGGCTGAATTCTGAGACATCCCCGGTGTGGTCCCTAAAATGCAAAGCGCCATGGAAGGGCTTTATACCTTGCAATATGTATTGAGAGTTTATCACAGTAAGTTTCCAATTGGATGTAAAGATCCAAACATTCAGAAATGATGTATTTCTCCATGTTTCATAAACAAATGCAACTACTTGTACATTTGTAATAGTGCTGGAGTCTCCAAACAGAATAATTACTTCAGCTTTAGACCAAGTGTTGAAAATATGAAGTAATTTTGATCTTGGAGTAGCATAAAAATCAGATTTCATCATTTCAGTGAAGGCCAGGCAGATCTCCTGCTCCTTGAGCATTGGTATCAGAGTTGAGACAAATCGTTCTCCATTGTCATCTTCTGGGGCCATGAGCCCAACCCAATTCCACTGGAAATGCAGGAGCAGCTGGACTAAACTCACACACTGTGGAAATTCACTAGGATTAATCCAGAAAAAGAAAGGATAAACTCTTCTCTCTCCCTGAGTGAACTCAAAGCCAACACCAAGCTGGAGAAAGTGAGAATCCTCTTTAAGAGACAAAGTACAGTTCAATGGTGACTTCAAGGCTCCCCATTGTGTAGTTTATTGCCACACCAGTCATTTTTACTCAATATGAGTGGCAGGCTTCATCTTCCTCCCTTCTTAGGAAGAGCCACCAGTTACCTATTTTGCCTAGTTGTGGTAGATCAGAAGTCAAAGGAACAAACCATCTACCCGATACAGAGAATAAATTGCACTGAAAGGTGTAGAAGGATTATCAACTTTTATGAAAATCAGGAAGTGATTTCTGTCAAGGAATTTCAGGGCAGCTGTCCAGATGAAGTTGGAGATGCTGCAACAAACTTGTAATCTTTTACATAAACATAAATATATTAAACATTCAAATTTACAGAAGTCTTTGTCATCATCCAGAAAAGGAAGAACACAAGATAGTCAGGAACACAGGAATATCATGAGGTAAATTAAATAGTATATAGAACACACAGAAGAAAAAGGCAGGAAAAGAAGGGAAACTTTCCATTTATATCCACAGCAACCAATCACAGTGTAGATTGCCTCATGCTTGAGCAGTCAAGATATTCAGGAACACAGGTATATTATGAGGTAAATTAAACACTATACAAAACACACAGAAGAAAAAGGCGGGAAAAAGGGAAACTCCCCTTTTATACTTATCACAACCAATCATAGTGCACATTGCCTCATGCATGAGTCAGCACTCTCTAACTAATCAACTGTAATTGTGTGTTCTAGCTTATTGTACACTTTAGTGTTTCTGCTACTAAATTCAATATCCTAACAATTGTTCTTTGAGAATTACATCAATATCTATTTGTGGTTATATGAAAATGTATCTTGACATGTAAAATATAAAAATAAATTCAACTATAGGAAGGATTATCTAAGTCATATTGTCAGATCTGTGTCAGAACTGACACATATAACCATGATGTGTTCTCCCCCAACACCTTTGTTTTCATCCTTGGCTTCTGTGTTTCTTTCTGTTGTTTGTCTATTCCATATTGTATTTCCCTTACCTGTGTGACCTTGAAGATGCTGAAGATGGAGGCCATCACCATTGAGGATTTGGGGTTGTCACCTCCAATGACAGAGAGCAGACGGTCCTGCCGGTCACATTTATAGCCTGGAACCATTTGGCCTCGTGTGGAGAGCAGGGAGAGGCTGAATAACGAACTATTCCTCTCAGTCTGGCGATTTTCATAGATGTGAAAGCCAAGAGTGATGTTGGGGAGGAGAACCAGATCATTGTTGACTTGTTTAACTGCAAACATCAAGGCCAGGAACAACTGGAAGCTCTTGGGCATGACTCTATAGTGAGAAAAACATTAGGGAAACTTACAAGGAAGCTTGTGTCAGCTGGTAGGGTTTGCATTGCCATATTTTTGGTTTAGTTTGCAACAGCAAGTCCCAGCTTTTTAACATAAATATTCCGTGATTAAACTTCTATGGCTTAGTGAGAAAGGAGAAGAGCTCTCTCTCTCTCTCCATATCATGGACCATTTTATACGATTCTATCACCCTCCCTTCTTCACTTTGCTTCACTGATTGTAACTGAATCTCTCTTGGAGCAGCTTCTTCAGGTCTGGTAACCATTTGTGACCACTAGACTCCAGATGGGTCACAGCACAGATTGACTGAAGGCCATGAGTATTAGTGTTCCAATATCTGAGGGGCTGCCACAAGGCAGAGGGGGCCAGGTTGTTCACCAAAGCACCAGATGGAAGGACGAGAAACAATGGCTGGAAACTGATCAAAGAGAGAAGCAATTAAGGAGAAATATCCTGACAGTGAGGACAATCAACCAGTGGAACAGCTTACCCCCAGAAATCATGGGTGCTTCATCACTGGAGACCTTTAAGAAGAGACTAGACATTCACCTGTCTGAGATGGTATAGGTTCTCCTGCTTGAGCAGGGTCCTGGACTAGAAGACCTCTAAGGTCCCTTCCAGATTCTATTCTATTCTATTCTATTCTATTCTATTCTATTCTATTCTATTCTATTCTATTCTATTCTATTCTATTCTATTCTATTCTATTCTATTCTGTTCTGTTCTGTTCTGTTCTTATTCATGAGCTCTGCTGATTCCAAAACTGAGGGATTTTGGCAGTATCTCACATTAGAAAAGGACTAAGTTTCTTTAACTTTGATTTTACATCCAAATTAATATTATAAGTCAACTTCTGCACTAGGCCAGCAGAGTTTCTAAGGTGATGTGCCACCCCACTTTTATGTGATTTATAATGATCATGATGAAGATTTCTGGAAAGACTGGGTATTCTAGCCTTTATTGAAAAAAAATGACAAAGCTTTGAAGATCCCTAAAAACAAGTATTTCGGAAAGGGGGCTCTGAATCCGAAACAAAGAAAATGTTCATCTACAGCTTTCCCCTCCAGGTGAAACTTACAAGAATTTATCAATAAGGAGGAATGGGTCATTTTGAAAATCTGGACCTCTGGTTAATATAAGAGCTGCCAGGGGCAAATTCCCCCCAATAATCAGATCACCAGGCCTGTAATAGCTCCAGTCATCCTGACTCTGGAAAGGCTTTTCCAACACACATACAGTTTGCATCCTCTTAGCAGCTGATGGAAGCAGGAGCCAGAAGAACAGCACCACCAGCAGCAGGAGAGGCAGCCCAGTCATTCTTGTCACCTTCCCTCCTAGATGAGAAATCAAGGTTTGAGCAGAAGCTGAATTGCAGGCGGCACTTGAAATCTCACCAGAACTGTGGCACAATCAAGATTATTTTGCCAGCTGGATGGCCTCAGGGCAATTTTATCTGATGTCTCCTTGCATTAACACATTTGTATTTTATCACTTTATTTGCTTCTAGCTATCTTATACTGAAATTAGACAGTGTGCTGTGTTTTATTTTAATGACAAGGTCATGAGAATATTCAATCAATAAACTGCTATTATATCATGAATCATGTTTTCTGTTACCTGTGTTTGGGCTTTGACATGAAGGTCTGCTGAACCCCGGAGCTAGCATTTTGGAAGACAAGGCAAAGTCCTCCATCACTCGGAAAACCTACTTTTAAAGTAGGTTTTGCCTTGGAAGATTTTTGTGGGTTGAAATCCACAGGGGATGCATTAAGAATTACTGTTCTTCTGCTAATTGTAAGGAAAAACAATTGCCCTAAACATATTTGTGTCTCTTGTTGGTAATCCACAGAGCAGATGGACTTGAGAGTCAAGCTGAAGTTGAGGTTTTGACAAACATGAAAGTGAGCACCTGCACACCAGATGGAATTTGGCCTGTGCCATAGTATGTTCAGATAGAATGGGTGCTAATGGGGCATGGTGGCAGTCAGATATACCCTAGGAAGTGTGAGCAATCATACCAATGTTTAGGTGGATTAACTGGTTTGGTTATACCCACAAGACAGGGGATGAAATGGGTTGATGGATCAAATTTATATGGCCATCCATCTCATGAAAAGTGATTCTGAGCAGCATACAACAGCCAGTTAAAAACTGTAAATAAAGAAGACAATAATTGCTTAAAATCTTTATACAACATTGATGAGAAAGAATTAGAATTATTGCGGTTCCCAAATCTGCTAGCATGACCAGATTTGAGAGAACTTCATAGCTCAGGAGGGATGAGGCCAACCAATGCAGCTCAGCAACCAAAAGTATAATGAGATCTAGCAGAAACATAACTGCTCTTGTTAGTGCATTTTGCACCAGCTGAAGTTTCTGGATACTCTTCAAGAGAAGGCCCATATGGAACACATTGCAATAATCCAACCAGGAGGTGGCCAGGGCATCCTTTGTCCTGGAATGAGTGCAACTGGCAGATAAAGTTGTGAAAAGTCCATAACTGCTATTTGATCCTCAAGTAGGAGTTGTGAGTCCAGGAGGACCCCAATTTCTCACGGGGTCTGTTTGGGTCAATGCAACCTCATCCAGCACGAAAGATGGTATAGCCCTAGAACCCAAAGCCACCCAGTCTTGGTGGGGTTCTTTAGAAGACTGTGTTTCCCCATGCAGACACTCATAGCCTCCAGACAGCAGGACAGGACATGCCCAGCACTGCTTAATTTGTCAGAAGCAAAGATGTGCAGTTGGGTGTCAAAAGCATATTGAGGAACCTCACCACATGGAGATGGATGAGCTTACCCTGCAGTCCCATGTAGATGTATAATAGAAGAGGGGACAGCACTGATCCCTGTGGCACATAAAAAAGGTCCANCAGAACCTAGGATGAAGCCTTCAACATTGAAGTCAGATTTTAGCCACAAGTACCGTATACTGTATTTCAATACATTTATTCAACTTGCTCATAGCCTCATATTTCAGCCTCCATTTTGCTCTCTTCTCTACTGGGATCCCATGGAAGATATTGTCAAATGCTTTGATGAAGTCAAGGTACACTTCATTGCATTCCCATGGTCAAGTCAACTGGTCATGTTATTCCCCTCCCCCCCAAAGGAGTTCAGACTGATTTTATTAATTTGTTCAAAAACTCCTGCTGATTCCTGTGAAACATTGCAGGACTTTCTAAATTGCTGGTGCCTAGAAAAAAAACATAAAAGAAATTATGAGGATGAGTATGTTATAATATAGTTTGTGTCATACCAAATCTCAAATGCAAATAAAGAATTTCAGACAGGAACAAAAATAGTACATCTTTGGACAGAGATGTTAAATGATGTCCATGCTTGTTTGGAACAATTGGAGATAAGGTTGCTTTATATGTAATTGTTATTAGTTAACCAGATGACATCACAATGCTGATACAATAGGGGGAATATTTTAATATACTTTAAATCATATTGTACCAAATCTCAAATATAGATAGAATGAATTTCAAACAGGAATTGAAAATGGTACATCTTTAGACAGAGATGCCAAAGGATATCCATGCTTCTTTGGAACAATGGAGGTAAGGTTGATTTATGATAATGATGATGTTGTCCAATCAGTCATGTCCAACTCTTGGCAGTTACATGGACCAGGTTTCTTCACATTTTATGATCTTGCACTACTTCTTTGAGTTTTTCTATGCTCTGGCTAGGGTCAGTTTTGAAAGTGTCCAACCACTATGTTCTTTGATGGCCTGGCTTCCTTTCACTGTTAACTCCTCCAAACATAATTGCTTTCTCCAATGACTTCCTCTGCATGACATGGCCAAAGTAAATGAAACGCGGTTTTATGATTTCCTTCCAGTGGTGTGTCTGGTATTATGTGTTCCAGTACTTGCTTGTTAGTCACTGTTGCTGTCCAAAAGGTTGTTTTATATGTTATTCTAATTAGATAAGTGGATCAGATCATAATATTGAGACCTAAGCAAAAATGTTTTAAAATAAATTGTATTGTACCATATCTCAAATGGAAATAGAAGGAATTTCAAACAGTAGCTAAAAATGATACATCTTTGGACAGAGATGCTTATAAAATATGTATATGATTTCTAATCATTTATTGAAAAAAAGGCCCTCTCTTATTTCATTATTGTTAAAAAATCACATCAAACTAAAAAAAAGCCCACAAGTCAAAATAAAAGTTACTACTTTCCATACAAATCAGAGATTATTGTGCCTCATTATATTTTCTCTACAATTCAGATTGGGTCTCAGTAGGATAATATAATATTTGGGGAAAAAGATGCAAGCCAAGAGACCAGCCCCAGAGGCCAAGATGGAGAAGATCTCCACGGCCACCATAGACAACACAATATCAACAGACCTTCAAGTTTTTGGGTTCTATAATCTCTCAGGATTTGAAATGGATACCTAACATTAGAACCCTCACTAAAAAGACACAACAAAGAATGTTCTTCTTGTGTCAACTCAGAAAACTCAGATTGCCCAAGGAGTTCTACAGAGGAATTATTGAGTTTGTCATTTGTACCTCAATAACTGTCTGGTTTGGCACAGTGACCAAACAGGACAGGTACAGATGGATAGTTAGAACTACAGAAAAAAACAATTGCAAGCAGCCTACTATCCACTGAGGATCTGTATACTGCACAAACCAGAAAGAGGGCTGAGAAAATATCTGCAGACCCCTCACATCCTGGTCCTAAACTCTTCCAGTGTCTTAGGATATTGCTAAAGGTGCTGGTTGTCACCTACATAGCCCTTCATAGGGCCTGATGGTTGTTTGAGGTATCACCTGTCTCCGAATATTTCTGTCTATCCAGTGCATTTGGGCAGAGGGGATCAGCCTCAGTGAAATGAGTAGTCCCCTTAATAAAATGTTGACATTTTGTGTTTGTGTGTATGGGAGTGAGGACAAGTGTCAGCCCTAAAGGTAGACCAGATTAGGAACCCAAAGCCATATATATAGATACT